AAAAAAAAGAATATGGAAACCCTGCCATGGCGAGAAAAAAAAAACGATTTAAATTAGTATTGAAATGGTCTTGCCAGGCTGTCCAAAATGTCATACGCTTTATTTACACAATATGAACCTTGTCTTCGTTTCGCGTAGTTTGGTTACACACAGGGATACAGAACGTTTTTGGGTTTTTTTTAACTGTTTATTTTATTTTGGAGTATAGTTGATTAACATTGTTGTGATAGTTTCAGGTATACAGCACACTGATTCCGTTATGCATAGATAGGTATCTATTCTTTTTTCAAATGCTTTTCCCATTTAGGTTGCGACATAATATTGAGCAGAGTTCCCTGTGCTGTACAGGAGGTCCTTGTTGGTTATCCATTTTAATTATAGCAGATACAGAACCTTTTTTTGGTGGGTGGAAAGATTAAGATGATCATATAAGCGTGTGTGAAAGGGTTTAGTGGCTAGACATTAAAACAGGTCTTAGGAACAAGTGGACACAAGTACAATGATAAAGTATAAAATTTCAACAAAGTCAGGCCAACAAAGCATCTTGTTGTAAGAAGGTTATATTAAATTCAGCGTGTGGTTTGTTCAGAAGCGAAGTGTCAGCACCGTCTCCCTGAGACGTGGTGAGGTTTGTCCGTGGAACCGATTGCTCAGCCAGGTGGGATGCTCGGGCCGGCTTTCAGTCTCTGACGACGGTTTTTCTAACACCGTCTCCTGTGGGCTTGTCTTCCCTAGGTGGACCTGGCCATCTCCGTCTCCGAGATTTCCATCGAAGAAAAGGCACTGAGTCCTGATGAGGAACGGAGGAAGTGGGAGGAGGGATGCATCGATTACCTGGGGAAGGATGCATTTGTCCGGATTCAGGAGAAGCTGGACCGCTTCCTGCAATGATGGTGCCATGGCGTTGGGTGGCCCTGTTCCATGAACATCTCGAGTCCTTTCCGAGGGAAAGACTCTTCCACGATGTGCCTCTCTTTATGGTTGACCAGCTTGAGTGCCTCATGTCAGTCACGTGGTCCATCCAAAACCCAGCTCAAAGGCCTGTGTGACCCCAGCTACCCGTGCCTCCTGGGGGTTCCCCAGGAGGTTGCATCTCCTTTACACCTTGTCGGCAAAAGGGCACAGGAATAACCTTCTGGTCAACCCTGGGTCTCTGGTTTTGCTTGAAGGAGCTCAGGATTCTGTCCTGGGCAGGTGCTGCCGTGTCCATCCTACGTAGGGTTAGACGTCATCGCAGAGTTTCTGTCCCAGTGCCCGTAACACGAGGAGAGGGATTGAGTGAGTGCCTTGGGACTTTGCAGAACCAAGAGTCCTTTCTGTGAAGACGAAGCAAACGTTCGGATGTCTTGAGTGTGACCCCAGTGTGGACTTTTCCAAGCATGGCTGAGAAACACCACAGCTGTGGTTCCTCTTTGGCAAAAATACCCAAGAGGACTTCCAAGTGTGTTGACAGATGCCCCGTGGAGATGTGTCAGAGATGTTTGGAAGGAAGATTCCAGCTGGCTTGGGAGCAGTGACCGCTTCCAAACTGGTTGACCTACAAGGGTTTACGCTGAGGGGTGTGTGGTGGCTGTGCACTCCCGGTAACTGGATTTGGTTGAGGCTGTTGGTTTCGAGGCAAACCCGTGTGCGGCCCAGGACACCGGGCTGCCCTTTGCTGGGTCTCACTGCCTCACTTCACAGTATGGAGTTACTGTGCTCTCCATGTCACCTCGGTTCTTTCGGGACGGTTCTCCGTTTGATGACACTAGACACTTTATTCCGTGAGAAAGCCTCACCTCCAGAAGCATCCGGAAATGAATGCCGTATGTTGGAGCTTCTCCCAGGGTCACTGTTGGTTGCCACCGTAGGATGATTAAAGCTGGATGTCAGTCGCTATACTGAAGAGAAGGGAATGCAGTTTTTCAGTGTTTGAATGGTTTATCACACGTGTGCAGTTGAAAATCATGAGTTCATTAGACACAGGTTTGGAGGAAGCTGGAGAGGGCTGTGTTCAAATCCATCTGAGATCTGGGTGGACTTCTGGGGTTCGTTGTGGCATTCACTTGTGTGAGGCGTGAGCTATGGAGGGGTTGTTTCTTTTGATCTATGGGTGACTGATCGGTAGTCTTGGTTGGTTTCACACAGATGGTGCTTCAGGGGCTACTTGGAAATAGCCATAGGGATATAGTCCTTGGGTGGGTTGCATGGGGTGATCACCATAACTTTGTGTTGGGGAAGGAACGTCTGTGCTCTGAGCCATACTGTTGGACCATCCTTTCATCCATCCATCATCCATCTATCCACCCATCACATGGTTTTTTGAGTTCTCTCCAAATGGCAGGCACTCTGACACGTGCTAAATCAATACATGAGAACATACAAGAACCTATAAGAACATTTTAACGACGTCTAAATAATATCCATCCAAGAGGTGTAATACGATGTTATTTCCTGAAGAATGCCAGTGCCAGAGTTCGTGCTGTGTAATGTCAAGACTGCAGAATTAACATAAGTTGAATCCTTGAGAGATGTGATTTGACCTATACTATCACTAATATTTTGGTACATAGGAGTTTCTGTTTTTTTTTAAAAAAAAAACATTTAATTGTTCTAGAAATATTATCCAATTATTTTGGGGCAGGATGAAATGGCAGGTGAAGAAAAAGCATTTCCAGATGTATTGACCTGGCCAGCTGGATTAAAGTGTGTAGATTTACAGGAACACAGCAAGTATTTTTGTTATTCAAAGTCACTTGGTCAAATCCTGGTGCTTGAATGCACAGGAGTTATCCTAATGCTAACGAGTTTTGGTGTGGAAATGCAAACAACTTGAACTAAAATAGGGTTTCTTTTAGCCACCACACCTGAATTAGGAAAAGTAGACCAATTCTCCTTCCCGATTTCATAGATCTCTGCCCTTTAGAGTACTATGCCATTTTTACCTTAGTGCCTTAAGGTAATGTCTTATATACCACTACTGTCTTATATACCAACTCTTTCCATCATCCTAAGGAACAAAATTGGAGTATTTTTTTGTCGTTGAGGGTTTTTTTTTTTTGAAATTTATTTATTTTATACAGTAGGTTCTTATTAGTTATCTGTTTTATACATATTAGTGTGTACATGTCAATCCCAATCTCCCAATTCATCCCACCACCACCACCCACCCCCCGCTTTCCCCCCTTGGTGTCTGTACGTTTGTTCTCTACATCTGTGTCTCTCTTTCTGCCCTGCAGACCGGTTCATCTGTACCATTTTTCTAGGTTCCACATATACGTGTTAGCATATTTGTTTTTCTCTGACTTACTTCACTCTGTATGACAGTCTGTAGACAGCACTGATTGTTAACCAAGATAATGAGCAGAGAGAATCAGCAAGTTTAATATAATAATCAAATTGTATGATTTTAAAAAGGGGGGAAAAATGGGAAGAAATCGCAAAAAGTTACATGTATACATATAACTGCTTCTCTTTGCTGTACAGCAGAAACTGACACAACGTTGTAAATCAACTATGTGCCAATTAAAATTTTTTTTAAGTTAAAAAAAATAAAAAACCTAGCACTGGACTGTTGCCAGAACAAACCGCTAATGGGGGAGAGAAAGATGGGACTTGATGTCACGTAGACACTCACACAGCTTGGGGATGGGGACAGACATTCAGAACACGGAACGGGATGAGCTAGTGTACAGCACGGTGATGACAGCTGACGATACTGTATTACGTACTCGGAAGTCGCTAGGAGAGTCTTAAAAGTTCTCATCACCAAAAAGAAAGGGCAACTGTGTGACCTGGTGGAGGTGTGAGCTCTTGCTTGGTGGTGACCGTTTGGCAGGATTTATAAACATGAAATCAGGGCTTCCCTGGTGGCGCAGTGGTTAAGAGTCCTCCTGTCGATGCAGGGGACACGGGTTCGTGCCCCGGTCCGGGGAGATCCCGCGTGCCGCGGAGCAGCTGGGCCCGTGAGCCATGGCCGCTGAGCCTGCGCGTCCGGAGCCTGTGCTCCGCAACGGGAGAGGCCACAGCAGTGAGAGGCCCGCATACCGCAAAAAAACCCCATGATATCAGGGCTTCCCCGGTGGTCCAGTGGTGAAGACCCCGAGCTTCCAATGCAGGGGGCGCAGGTTGGATCCCTGGTCAGGGAACTAGGGTCCCACAGGCCATGCAGTGTGGCCTAAAAATAAATGGGTCACAGAATTTCAAAAGTAAATAAATATGTGAAATCATTACGTTGCAACCTTCAACTTACACCATGTTTGCATGTCAATGATAATAGGGAAGAAAGAAAAAACAAATCACATGCATTGGTCTCTGGTGGGTCCCCCGCCATGTTTGGGCTTGACATCCTCAGTCTGCATGATACATGCACGGATTTCCTGGTGGGGTTAGTTAACTCTGCCGGCTTGTTGCTGCTTGTCATGCGAAATAACTTTTCTGGAAGGCCACTCCTTGTTATCAACAAAAGGCACAAAAATATTTCTCTGGCCAAGTGCTTTGTAAGAAATGTTGAAAGACATGCCCTTTTAGAGCAGTTTCTCAAGGACTTTTTTTTACCCCTTGCGTTTTCCTGTAAGTTCTTGGAATGAGTCCTTTCCTAAGTCATCCAAGAACTATTTTTTGATTATTTACTGTTCAAGGAACCAGGAACCTCTACAAGAGATTTGTAAAAATATAACCTTGGCAGTTTGGGAAAAGACAGTAGGAAAACAAGTTGGGAAGAATCCCTTATACTGTTTCCTTTTCAAAGCAATCTGCTCTGGTAGGTGTCCTTCTAAGAGACAGAAGAGGAGAGACACAGACACAAAGGAGAAGCCCAGGGAAGACAGGTAGAGACGGGAGGGATGCGACCACGAGCCCAGGGACGCCTGGAGCCCCCAGAAGCTGGAAGAGGCGGGAAGGACCCTCCCCTGGAGCCTCTGGAGGGAGCGCAGCCCTGGGACACCTTGACCTCAGACGTCTGGCCTCCAGGATGGGGGAGGATGGACTTCTAGTGTTTTAAGCCTCTGGTTTGTGGTCATTTATTACAACCACCCCAGGAAACGAATACACACACTCTCTGTCAGCCTGTCTAGATCTCAGACTTCATCAAGCTCTTCATCAAGACTGTGTCCTCCTCCAGAAAAGCTTTTATAGACCTTCCAGGTTTCAGTAGTGGGCCAAGACCAGTATAGAAAGCGCCCAGTATTGGGGACCAGATGTGTACCAAGCATTTGATGTCCCCGATTATTTCATCTTCCAATACCCTGGGCATGGGCACCTACTATTTCCCGTAAATGAAGGCAAGGGTTTGACCAAGTGCAGAGGCAATGCCTTAGAGAAAGGATGGTCTTTTCAACGAATGATGCTGAGACCACTGGACATCCATAGGCAAAATGATACAGCTTGATAGAGGACCCTTAGAACGCTTGGGTGGGTCTTCTTGAGCTGCCATAACAAAGCACCCCAGACCGAGTCCCTCAATCAATAGACATTTATTTCCCCCAGTCCTGGAGGCTGGAAGTCCGAGATCCAGGCGTGGGTAGGGTTGGTTCCTCCCGAGGTGTCTCCGCTGGGCGTGTAGATGGCCGTCTTCTCCCTGTGTCCTCGCAAGCAACATTGAGGAAATCTAAGCAAGATTGATGGATTGCATCCACGCCCGTATTCTGGTTACCATGGTTACTGTATTACTAGAGCTGTACGGTTGAGGGGAAACAGGTAAAGGGCAAACAGGTAAACAGAAGCTCTGGTGTTATTTCCTACAACTGCACGTGAATCTATATTTATCTCAACGTAAGAAAGTTTATACAAAGAAAATTGGCAGCTGTATGCGTCTCATGCTATAGTGGCATCAACTGAACCTGAGTTTCAGGGATGAACCCAAAGACATCATGATGAAGAAACAGAACAAGAAATTTGCACCCAAGGCTGCT